CACCCTCACCATCACCAAGGAGGGAAAAGAGGAGCAAGTCGTCAACGTCGCCCGCACCCTCTGGTATGCTCAGCAACAACAGCTTCAAGGTTTCTTGATGGGCTCTCTTTCCCGCGAGATTCTGTCCCAGGTGGCCACGCTTCAGACGCCGGCCGAGGTGTGGCGCACCATCAACACCATGTTCGTTGCCCAGAGTCAGGCGCAGGCGATCAACACCCGGATCGAACTTACCAACCTTAAAAAAGGTAATATGTCCATGGCAGAGTACCTGGGCAAGATCAAAACCCTCACAGATGAGGTTGCTTGTACTACTTCGGCGCTCTCCGATCCGGAGATCGTCTCCAAAATCTTGGCTGGCCTCAACATGGAGTATAATCCCGTGGTCTCTGCCTTGGTGGCACGTGTGGAACCGATCACGGTCCCGGAGCTACACAGCCAGCTTCTCAGCTTCGACGCCCGCCTCACACTTCTTCACGGCGGCGACCTTCGGCAGTCTTCTGCGTACTCTGCTTCACGGGGTCGCGGCCGTGGCCGCGGTCACCGCGGTGGAGGGCGCGGCCGTGGCGCTCCCTCGGGCGACAGTGCACGCCCTAGTGGCGGCTACAACTACGACGGGGGCTACGGCAACAACCAGAGGGGTGGCGGCTTCAACTCCAACAATGGCCGCCGCACCTCTTCTCCTCGCCCTCGACCCCGGTGCCAGCTATGCAAGAAGGCTGGTCATGAGGTCATCGACTGCTGGCATAGGTACGATGACAACTTTGTCCCTGATCCCAAACTGGTTGCAGCTGCTATGCGCGAGCAAGGCGGGGATGGCGTCTGGTACGTTGATTCCGGAGCTACTGATCACGTCACCAATGAGTTAGAGCAACTTGCCCTTCGCGAGACGTACCACGGCAACGATCAGATCCACACAGCCAGCGGTAAAGGTATGGATATTTGTCACATTGGTCAAGCTTCACTTAGTTCCCCTACTCTTCAACGTGATCTTCTTCTTAAGGATGTTCTTCATGTTCCTCAAGCAGACAAAAACCTTGCCTCTATGTCTCGTCTAGCCACCGATAATGATGTTTTCTTTGAAACTCACCCTCACTATTTTTTCATTAAGGACCGAGCAACGAGGGCAGCTCTCTATCACGGTAGATGCGTTGGTGGCCTCTACCCCATCTCCTCCAGAGCCTTTACAAACAAGCATCGTCGAGTCTACTCCGTCATCAAGCCCTCTTTCGAGCGGTGGCATCAAAGATTAGGACATCCCTCCTCCATCATAGTTAGGCAAATTGTCAATAAAGACAAACTTCCTTTGTCACATAGTTCAAATAATGCGTCTGTCTGTGAAGCATGTCAATGTGCCAAGAGCCATCAGCTCCCTTATCCTAAGTCTACTAGTGTGTCTCATGCTCCATTACAATTGATCTTCACTGATGTATGGGGTCATGCTCGAGATTCTTTTGGTCGAAAAAAAATATTATGTTAGCTTCATTGATGATTACAGCAAGTTTACATGGATTTATTTGCTTAAGTATAAATCTGAAGTTTTTTCCATCTTCCAAGAGTTTCAGAAGCTAGTTGAGCGCCACTTTGATCGAAAAATTCTTTTAGTCCAAAGTGACTGGGGAGGGGAGTATGAAAAACTCAACTCTTTTTTCCGAAGCGTTGGGATTACTCATTATGTGTCTTGTCCTCATGCTCATCAGCAAAACGGTTCTGCTGAACGCAAACACCGTCATATCGTTGAAGTTGGTCTATCCCTTCTAGCTCATGCATCTATGCCCCTCAAGTACTGGGATGAGGCTTTCATCACGGCTACATATCTTATTAACCGTCTTCCAAGTAAGGTCATTGGCAATTCAACCCCTTTAGAACGATTGTATCATCAAAAGCCAGACTACACCTCTCTAAAAATTTTTGGCTGTGCTTGCTACCCCAACTTACGTCCATACAATCGTCATAAACTAGAATTTCGTTCCACACAATGTGTGTTTATTGGGTACAGCAACCTTCATAAAGGATATAAATGCCTTGAACCGTCTACTGGACGTATATATATCTCCCGTGATGTAATCTTCGATGAAACTTTATTCCCGTTTTCCCTTCTTCATCCCAATGCTGGCGCTCTACTTCGTGCAGAAATTGCACTCCTACCAGATTACTCTGTTAATCCTGATCACGGGGGTGAACTAACTGAGAATGATCATGTGCAAAAATCCGCTGAAAACCGCATATCTAATGGCTCTTGTACAGATTCTGCTCGTCATTTTATGTGTATACAGGACAAATCAGGCGCGGAATCTGAGGAAAATCCGGCTGACAGCGCGCGATCCCAGGCTGATCTGTGCCAGCATGCAGCGCAGCCCAGCGCGCGATCCCGTGCCGATTCTCTCCTGGCGGGCGACAGCGACAGCAGCCCCGCTGCGGGACCAGACGCGGGCCAGGGCGCGCCGCGCCAAACCGACCAGGTGGGTCACGCGGGTCCAGGCACGGATCAGGGCGCATCCCGCCAATCCGGTCAGGTGGGCCACGCGGACTCAGGCACGAGTCCAGGTGCGGACCAGGGCGCGTCATGCCAAGCCGACAGGGTGGGTCCCGGCGCATCTGGTGCAGGCGCGGGCCCTGACGCGACTTCCGGCGCCTCTCACCAATCCCCGCCTACCTGCTCTGACCGTCCCGACGCGGCTGTCGAGCGTGACGCGAGGGGGAGCGAACCCGAGGAGCTGCACGGATCTTCCCTGGGTCTGGTGCCGGATCAACCTGGATCTTCTGTGGCTGATATTACGGCTGCTGGATCTCCTTCGCCTCCTCGTCGACACACCAGGTCAAGGTCAGGTATTGTTAAAGAAAAAAAATACAGTGATGGTACAATAAAGTATAATCCTACTAAGCGTGCTTTCCTTGCTACTACTGGAGAACCTGTTAACCTGCATGATGCACTTGCTAGTAAGGATTGGAAGGAAGCCATGGATAGTGAGTATAATGCACTCATGAAAAATCAGACTTGGCGTCTAGTACCACCGCAACGGGGTGCTAACATAATTGATTGCAAGTGGGTATACAAGATTAAAAGGAAACCTGATGGTAGTATAGACAGGTACAAGGCAAGGTTGGTTGCAAAAGGCTTTAAGCAAAGGTTTGGTATTGATTATGATGACACTTTTAGCCCTGTGGTTAAAGCAACTACCATTCGGCTTGTTTTATCCATTGCTATTTCCAGAGGCTGGAGCTTACGACAGCTAGATGTTCAGAACGCGTTTCTTCATGGTGTTCTTGAGGAAGAAGTGTTCATGCGGCAACCACCAGGTTATGAAAATCATAGCACACCACATTATGTATGTAAGTTGGATAAAGCATTATATGGATTGAAGCAGGCTCCAAGAGCATGGTATTCTAGGTTGAGCATGCAGTTACAACATCTTGGGTTCATATCATCTAAAGCAGATACATCTTTGTTCTTTTATAGCAAAGGCAATATCACTGTGTTTGTGCTTGTTTATGTTGACGATATAATTGTTGCCAGCTCAAGTCAAGCGGCCACAACCTGTTTGCTCAAGGATTTGAAACTTGAGTTTGCTCTTAAGGATCTAGGTAACCTTCACTATTTTCTTGGCATAGAAGTGAAGCAAGTCAGAGATGGCATACTTCTCTCACAGGAAAATATACAGCTGATGTTCTTAAGAGAGTGGGATTGGAGAATTGCAAGCCAGTTAGCACACCAATTTCCACCTCAGAAAAACTTACAATTGATAGTGGAGAAATTCTTGGTCCAGAAGATGCAACAAATTATAGAAGTGTTGTCGGTGCTTTGCAATATCTAACACTTACACGACCAGATATTTCTTACTCGGTGAATAAGGTATGTCAATACTTGCATGCGCCTAGAACTACTCATTGGACAGCAGTTAAGAGGATCTTAAGATATCTTCAGTATTCTCAAGGGCTTGGACTTCAGATTGTCAAGTCCTCTTCCTTGCTTGTTACTGCATATTCTGATGCAGACTGGGCAGGATGTGCTGATGACAGAAGATCTACTGGTGGTTTTGCTGTATTTCTGGGATCTAATCTTATATCATGGAGTGCAAGGAAGCAAGCTACTGTTTCACGATCAAGTACAGAGGCTGAATATAAGTCATTAGCAAATGCCACAGCTGAAGTAATGTGGATACAAACATTACTTTATGAGCTTGGTATTAAAGCTCCGAAGGCTGCACGGTTATGGTGTGATAACATTGGTGCAACTTACCTTTCAGCAAATCCTGTATTCCATGCACGAACCAAACACATTGAGGTGGACTTTCATTTTGTCAGAGAGAGAGTAGCTCGAAAGCTACTTGAGATACGATTCATTCCTACAGGCGATCAACTTGCAGATGGGTTTACTAAACCATTGACTGAGAGAAGATTGGATGAGTTCAAGTACAATCTCAACCTTAGCAAGGCTTGAGGTTTAGATTGAGGGGGAGTGTTAGAATTATTGTATAGGGATAGGAGGTGTTTAAACTTGTATCTATCTCTTCTTATCCTTATCCCGAGAGACTCCTGTAACGACCTCTCTTCCGGTCGATCTCCTCCTCCTCTCTCGATCTCTCCCTCTGTAATCTCTCTCTGTGTAACTTGTTTACCAAGGCTTTGCCTCAATATATACATGCGGCCCGAGACAAAGGGTTCTACGCTTCCCAAACAATCTTACAATAAACAATACAAGGGGGTGAGGTTTCAGCAAAAAGCAGAGGGCAAGAGTCTGTTGATGTAGCTCACAGGAGAAAGCAGTCCAATTTGGTTGGCAAATGAATCGTTTGAGAAAACAATAGTCAAAGACATTTTCCTTAACATGATTGGTTATCAAGCATAACACAATGATTTACAATTAATTCATATACCTCGGTATTTAAACATTTCACATAGCTTGACAGTAATCAAAAGGTTGATATAGTCTGACAAGATTGTACAATAGATGACAGAGCGACAGGGGAGACTTACATACACAGGGTCCATGTATCTATTCATCAAGATAGCATCTTCGATGCGGGAAGGAAGGACCAAGCAACAGTAATCTCCACCTTAGAGCCAGCACCAAGGTTACATGTTTTTTTACTTATGTTGCATTTTTCGGGTGTGAAGAGGACATCATAAGAGGGTGTTTGTTTCCAGGGACTTATTAGCTTAGGGACTTAAAAAGTCCCTATAAGTCCCATCTAAACCAAACAGGAGGGACTTATAGGGACTTAAAGTGGGCATTTGGGACTTATGAAATAAGACTCTCAAGGAGGGACTTATAGGGACTTATAGTTGTAATATGGTCTTATAGGGACTTATAAGTCCTAGGAACCAAACATGTAGGGACTTTTTAGGGACTTGGGACTTATAAGTTGGGACTAAAAAATGCCCTAGAACTTATGAACCAAACAGGGCTTAAGTAGCCATCTCAGCAGGGTGTGAAGGTGAATAGGTCTTTATGATAAATTTCAGCTTTCCTCTTAATTCCACAAAAATCACACGCCTTATCAGATCAAGGTGACCATTTCTAGCCATTGGCATTCTTCCATCTTGTGAGTCAAGCAGCACAACTTCCGTAGATGGGAGCCCAGTAATATCTTCATAACCATGACAAGGTAGTGAAGAGCAGACAATTCTTCCGCCATGTGGAAAAGGAGATGACCCTTCGTGGGCTTTAACTACTGCACTCAGGATAGTGGCCTGGACTGACTCTTGAAGTCTCTCACAGCATAGTTCCACTATGCATAAGGGGCTGCTGACAAGGAAACTTCCATGTTGCTCAGCATTATAAAGGTAGAATGTACTGACCAGTGCTCTATCCTCAGATTTTGTTTCATCCTTTACTTTTAGTTGGATTTCAATGTAAACAGTATCCATAGACACAATCGCGCGTACTGGCCCAGTCAATTGCAAAAAAGGATCCTGCGAGAATCAACATTTGCCATTAACTAATTATTAACAACGTTGCAGGCAACAAACAAGACAGTATATAAGACAATAAAGCAACATGTGTACTTGTTTTGTGAGGATTTGGCAGTCATTCCATGTATGAAGGAAGAGAGGGTTGCGATGACGGTATGCTGCGTGCCTGCGTCTTGGGCCGCTACCACTCCATACACCTCCAGTGAATGCCCAAGTTCTGCTGCTGCAGAGACTTTGATGGAGTTAATCTGCAAGGTGCTCCCCGCAACAGCGTCAACCGGGATGCGGCCTGGTGTGCAATGTGTAAATTGCATGGGGCTCAATAACGCTGCACGCCGCCAATCGAAGCATGCGTTAGAGATCTACCATGAAGTAAATAGACTCCTTTCAAGATCCATTCAAGAAAAATAAAACAGTAACAATCAGGTAAAATACTTCAGAGTGAATTCCTGCTCTTATAGGAGGAATCAGCCCGCTTTAGGCCATGTTCGGTTAATCCCCTTGCCATAGGGATTGAAGGGGATTGGGAAGGTTTGAGAAGGATTTTCACTTGCAAGGGATTTAATCCCCTCCAATCCCTTTCAAACCTCTTCAAACCCTTCCAAACCGAACAAGGCCTTAGACACGCAGTAAATGAGGAAGAAACCTAACTAGGATTGTTACTCGCTCTGATGTTCGAAGCTGTAGTCAGTGCCCCATGTCCGTTCCCAGAAGAGACGGTAAGCAGCGAATGACTTGTCCATCTCCGCGGAAGATTTGGCCCCGTCTCCTCCCGCAACACCTTCCCTCTCCCCCTCCATGGCTGATAAGAAGGATTCCGATTTCAACCGGACGAGCTTTGATTTCACTTTGGAGTCAAGACCTGGGTCCAGCCGCCGAAGCGTAGTGATCCGCTCAGAGATCCTTTTCAGTTTGGCGATGCGGTGGACGTACGGCTCAGAAGTAAACATGGTCATGGTCTTAACTAGATCCTTCTTCTCCGCCGAGAACGATCTCAGTATTTCGCGCATCTCGCGCCACAGCTCGTCGATCCGCTTGCAGCACAGCTCTAACCTGAAGGCAAAGCCTAGCGCTGCCGCTGCCTCCTTCCACTCCTTTCTGCTTCGAGCACCGAAGCGACGTCGCCGACCTCTTCTTGGAACTTCGACAAGATGTCAATGATGAATTTGGGTAGGGACTCCGAGAGGAACGTATTGTCTGCCTGACCAACGATCGTCTCCTGGGTCTCCTCCTTTGCGGCCGGATCGGGCAGCACAACCACCGCGTCCTCGCCGATCTTGCTCTGGGCCTGGATCTCGGGATCGGCCAGGCGTAAGATCCTTTCCGACACGTCGAGCAGATCGGATTTCAACTTCAACAGATCCATGTGTTCGGACCCGCACCATCCCGTCGAAATCATCTTCTCCTGCAGGACCTCGATCTGGCTAGCGCTCTGCTGCATCAACTTTGCGGCCCATAGAGCTCCTCGCTTAGCACGAATGCGTCACTAGTGCCCTTCGCCTTTAGGTCCGGCGCCATCTCAACGTCCTCGCCAGTGTCCATGTTGAGCCAGGAAGTGTGCGCTGCCGCGAAGCTCACGGAGGAAAGTATCAGCCAGATTCAGGTCCTGGAGAAGAAGGTGATTGAGATGGGACATGGCGGGTCCACAGGTCACAAGGATCTGCTACAGTTGCAAGATGATATGATCCAGGTGTCGCGAAGGATCCTAAGCCGGGTCGATTCTTTGCTCCGGTTGACCTTCTTCGCGATCCAGCCCCCGATTGGCGATGTAAGTGAGATGAGCATCCCTGCGACCCGGCGCCGGATTGGCATTGATGGTGAGAAGGAAACGGAGGAGCATTTCAAGGAGCTGCTGGTTACTATCTTCATATCCATAGCCGAGACAGCCAGAAACATGTCTGCGGTGGAGGCAGACACCATGGTGCTGGAGGTGGCGCCGAGGTTCGGCTTAAAACTGAACTCGCTCTTGTGGCTGATCGATGAGCTGTGGGATGACATGCGCCAACTAGTCTCAACAGAGACGAAATTTCTAGCAACATGCATATTTACTTGTGAGCCCTTCGTGCACTATATCTCCACATTGCAGTTGATCACGGCAGTTTTCGACTGGCTCGGTAGATGGGTACCGAGTTTTACTATGAAATTGCTATCCATACGCGAAGATCAGGACATAGAGTGGGAGGAGGATGAGGACGAGGAGAAGGAGATGAAGATGATTGAGGAGAGCAACTTCGCTAACTACATTAGTCGCTGGGAACACACGCACAGTAACGGCTGCAGCTTCGAAGACACGAGTGAGTAAACATGTATGGATATGTGTGGCTGTACATATTAATGTGTCTGCTTGAATGGATTATTTAGTTAGTTCATGTCTGATTAACACATACTCCCTCCGTCTCAAAATAAGTGTCTCAACTTTGTACTAGCTCTAGTACAAATTTATACTAAGCTCAAGACACTTATTTTGGAACGGAGGGAGTACTTCACTCGCCTGCATGCAGCATTGTTGAGCCCCATGCTCTTTACACACTGCATACCAGGCCACGTCCCATCGGATGCTGGTTGCCGGAGGACCATGCAAATCTACTCCATTGAAGTTGCAAAAGTAAAAGGCCACAACTGGCCACTGGAAGGTGTACGGTGTGGTTGCCGCCTGAGATGATGTGGACAATCGTCGCAACATTCTCTTCTTTTGCACTAGGGATGACTACCAACTCCTCACGGAGCATGTAAGTGTGGGTAGTTTCCTTTTCTTCTTTTTTCTTAATTGTGTGCATCCTTGTTAATTAGTTAATGTTGAATGATGATGTTTGCAGGATCCTTTTTTGCACTTGACTGGCCCGTCTCGTGCAATTATCTCTATGGACACCGTCAACATTGAAATCCAACTAAAACAAAAGGGCACAACAAAGTCTGAAGATAGAGCATTGATCAGTAAAGCCTTCTCTTATAATGGTGATGTTGGTGATACTTTTTCTACGCGTCACCTCAGTGGCCACTTTTGCACAATAGAGTTGTGCTGTGAGCATCTTGAACAATCGCTCCAAGCCACTATCCTTAGTATCCGTGTTCAAGAGGGCTCACTGCCTTCTGAAAATGGCATCCGAGTTGTTTGTTCCTCGCTACCTTCCGAGAGCCCATCTGAGCATGTTTTTCTGTTTGGTTCAAAAGCTGGAACAATTCCCGTGGGTGAAGGGGGCTATCTGGATCTGTCAAGGCAAGTTGTTTCGGTAAAAAGAGAAGGAAGGCTAGAAATTCTCATGGAGATCTTGGAACAATCAGGTTGCACGAGTCATTGTTTTGTCTTCACACCGGAATCCAGCAACGTAAGTCAAAAAGAATTTAACCTTGGTGACTGTAAATTGGAGATTACTGTTGCTTGGTCCCTCCTTATTGATGACCAGCGGCCTATCTTGATGATGGGGTATACAGAGCCTTACTCACCAAGTCCGCATATCCCTTTCATGGAGCTTGGAGAATGAACTTGTCTGCTTATATTGGTATGTCGTTATTTCTTAACTATGGTCGTTGGCTGTCAATTTGTCTGATATTCAATGTTGCGTAGCCGTAGCAAGTGCCTATTTTGTTGTTCAGCTACTTAACTGTAATTTGTATGCTGGCATTCCTGGCTTACTCGTGCAGCATCTTATTTCCGGATCATATGCCGATTTGCCTAATGATCTGATTAAGAGAAGCCAGTCTGTGTATTCGTCACTTGTTTGGATTTGACATCCGGGAATTGTTAATTCTTGCAAAGGAAAGATGGAAGCAAACGTGCGCTCTGAGTGCCATCTGCCATGGGTAACTTCTTTGTGAATTTGTCGAGTGAAAACGGCCATTCAGTGAAAACTGAAAAACTTTCCCCGTACTCCTTTGGATCACGAACGTATAGTATAGATCAGATGTGGGAATCCCACCAGCCACTTAACCACACTTTTCCCGAAAACCCCCTGCCCGTACGTGCTAGCTTGGTAAGGGTTCAATATAAAAAACAGATCGTGTTCAATCTGTGCCGCCATGGAGCCTTGTCTTGCGCCGATCGCCATGTGCGGCGGCCCTCCGGCTGACATGTGCCCTTGCTGTCCAACGGCTCCATCCTTGAGCACTCTTCCTCGCCCTCCAACGGTTCCGTCCAGGAGAGCTCCCCCTCCGCCGGTGATGATCCCCCACCTTTCGCCGGCCCCGACCATGATTCAGATGTTCGAGTGTTAATTGACAACCTTTGGAAGAGGAAGAAAATCTAACAAGGGTTCTTCTTGAGTATGTTCTTGGTGATGCTAATCGGCTGACACATGTATTTTACTAGGAGAGTTATCATTTTCTAGGATTATGATGCAGTCCTGAATGACAACTTAGATGGCCTCGTATCTCTGAATATTTGTACTGAAGCTCATTGGTGCTTGTGCCGACATTTTGCTAGGAGATTATCATTTATCTCTGAATATTTGTACTGAAGCTCATGTGTTGGATGAATTATAGATGGCCTTGTATCTCTGAATATTTGTACTGAAGCTTATGGGTTGAATGAATTTTAGATGGCCTTGTATTTCTGAATGTTTGTAGTGAAGCTCTTGGACACTTGTGTCAATATTTTGCCAGGAGATTATCATTTTATCTCTGGATATTTGTACTGAAGCTCACTTGTTTGATGCATTTTAGATGGCCTTGTATCTCTGAATATATGTGCAAGAATATTGTTTCTCATGGCAAACTGTTTCTTTTTACTAGCTAGAATTAGACAGGGTAATAACGCACAAGAGGTTAATTGATTAATGCCAATTCCTATTTATTGTAGCTGATGGATTAGTCAACTCGGAATTTAGCAAGACAGAAGATGTTAACCACCAGTAATACATGTCATGTCACTGAATTCTAGCTGTCTGAATGTTATCTCTTAATTTAGGTTATCTCTGAGTACCACCAGTACATGCTTGGCATCAGTGGGTGTATAGATA